GTATATAGTTACTATATATATATATATATATATATATATATATATATATATATATATATATATATATACACACACACACACACACACACACATGGTATGTATATACAAACACATGGATACAAACTGAGCCCTTCCTGCTCTCCTAGTGCTGAGCCAAAATCTGTGCATGTAAAAACCTTTTGATTTTTGGAACAACTCTATAAAGTGGGGACTGTCATTCCCATTTTTGTATGGGGAAACTGAGGCACAGAGAGGTGTATTCATTGCCTGAGATCACACAGGCACGAGTGGGAGGGCTGGGGTCATTCAAGCCTAGGCTGCCAGGTTCCCCAGCCTGTGCCCTCTCCCACTTAATGCTTAACTGGCTCCATCCCCTCTGCAGTCCCAGACACTACACTGACATTAATGTTTTATCAATAGTTTTAATATTAATGTTTCATTAAAAGATTCAACTTTAAATATTTTATAACCAGTTTTAACAGTAATGCATTGTTAATAATAGCTTTTTGGATGGAGAAACTGAGCCACAGTCAAGACTCAGCATTCAAAGCCTGGCCTGCCTGACCCTGGGAGGCCTCAAGCTTCACCCAGAAAGGAGCAGAGGATAAAGGAGGGGTTGACATGACTCTGTCTCATCCTGACTTTGTCCCTGCATGCTGTGTGATCTGAGGAGGTGCCCAACAGTCTCTAGGGCCCTTAGCACATCAGTATCTCTCAATTCCCCCCTTCTCAGCCTCTCTTCCCCGGGCAAGCACCTGTCTCCTCCACTACCAGGTGGCTCCAGTGAGACAGGAGTTGGGTGCTATTACGCCCATTTTACAGACAAGTATACTGGGATCTGGAGAGGAGAGATGTATTGCCTAAGTCCTTGAGAAGAATCTTGATAGAGAGAGGAGGCTGGAGGATGAGTCCCAGATGAAGATTCTCATATGTGTCAAATCTCACCCTTCTCTGCTCCAGGTCCTCCTTTGGCTCCCCATTGCCCTCACTTCTGAATCCACACCTCTCTGGAGGACCTGAGTGACCTGACCCCTGCTTGCCTCCCCATCCCCCTCTTCTTGGCTCACTCTGCTCCAGCCTCATCACCCCTACCCAACTCCTTGTTTTTTTGAAGTAGCCAGGGTCATCCCACCCCATGCCCTTGCCTGAATGCTCTTCCCCTGCTGACTCTTTGTCTTTTGGTTCACAGCTGGAGTATAATCCCCTCCAGGAAGCCCTCCCTGACCAGCTGAGTAAATATCCTTAGAGCACCCTCCTCTCACTGGTACAATTTCACATTTACTGTCATGATTATTTGATCTATGTCTGCCTCACCCTACAGCCCCTTAAGGGCATGACCAGGTCTGCCTTGCTTCCAGCTGTGCCCTCAGTGCCCAGCACTCAGTAGATGCTCAATAAATGCTTTTGCAATAAATATAGAGCCTCCCCCTCCACCATTCAACTACATTGATCTGTGTTCAGCTCCTCATACACCCTGATCCTCTTGAGTCTGAGGCTTTGAACATTTTGTTCCTTCTGCTTGGCATACCCTTCCCTGCACTCCTCCCGGCTGACTTCATCCTTCAGGCTAAGCTTAAATATCATCTCTTCCAAGCAGTCCTTCCTCACCCTCTATCCCCAGATGCTGGCTCAGAACCTCCTCTGGGCTCCATGGCACACTGATCTCTTGCCATCACAGCACAGATCATTCTGTGTTGTCTCCAGCTGGTATGAGTCTGTCTCCACCATTACTCTATGAGCACCTACTTGCCCTTGGGCTGTGTCCCCAGCACAGGGCCTGGCACACAATAGGTGTTAAATAAGTGCTTGCTGAACAAGATGCTCAGACCCTCCCAGACCCACGTGATCTGCCCAGGGTGGTGGGGAAGACAGCCATAGCTGGTGATTATGCTCTGGCACAGAAAGTTCACAACAAAATGCAGAAAGTATGAGTTTGTGTTTGCATCTCACTGATGACACTGAGGCTCAGGGAAGCACCACCAGTTGCTTGGGAGTGTTTAGTACATTGGCCTCGAGCCTAGTTTCCCCAAGAGCTGAGCCTCTCCCACCACATCTGCATATATATGCACAGACAGGACACATACACACAGACATGCTCACAGGGACACAATCCACCACTCCTGCCTTCCAGAGCCACTTGGCTCTCCCCCCAGATGGGCCCAAACCCAGTCTCTGTTTGTTCTTTCTTGAAGATGGAAAATCATGAGTCACCAGGAGAGACGGCAGGAGGAACTGAAGGGTGG